TGTGTGCAAATTTAAATGAATATTGACTGTATGTGACTGGAATTAAAATGTCTTGTGAGGAGATAAACACACAAAGAATTAAGTATGTATGACAACAGTACTACAAAAGGTATGAGGGTAAGAAATGAATTTGAAGTGTTATGTAGACCTTTCATTTGACTCAAGAGTGGTAAAAATGTAACTATATCTTATACTTTAAGAAGGCAAGAATACATATTGTAATCTCTAGGGAAACCCCTAAAATAATAGAAAACATTTCAACAAACAAGCTAATGAGAAAGAAAGAATAAAAATATTTTATATATCTAAAAGTAGGCAAAAGAAGAACATAGAGCATAAGCAGCAAATAAAATATAAATGATAAAATGGTAGGCTTACAGATTAATGCAAATAGATTAAATATTTCAATTAAAGACAAAAATTTCACACTACATTTTTCAATAGGAATAATGTGGAATTTTTTACAAATGGCTAAATTTAAGATAATGGTGAAAGTTATGTGGGAATTAAGTTTAGGAAAAATGCTAGAATGTGGTAGACTATGAGAATAAAATGTCATTTTGAGGCCTTTGAATTTTCTTCTGTTAATTAGATCTAATTCTGGAGGCAAATACTATCGTTCCCAGTCTTTATGAGGGTAGCTGATGGGTAGAAATATGAAGGAAGAAAAACCAGCCCAGCTGTTACTAAAGCTCTCATTTAATTAATTACCTTGATCAACATCCCATAGCACACTCTTCCTACTTATACCACTCTGAGTTTGTTGCAGGAACTAAAAGCACATCATGTGTAATTAGATGGCCTGAACTAAAATCCTCTTTTTGTATGATTTTCAGCATTTTTCTTAATTCCTCTGTGTATCAACTTTCTCACTCAAAAAAATTCATCTAACAAGATTTACTTTTCTTGGCCTTCCAAGTAGCTGGAACTACAGAGGCAGGCCACACGCACACAAAAATTTACTTTGCGTAAGATTATGATAACAATCAAGCAAGTTAACCTATATAAAATGTAAACAATGTCTGGTAAATAATAAGTATGCATAAATAGTAGGGATTATGGAGTTTCCCACAGACTCCACTGGTAAGAATACCTTTCATCTCTGCTCTGAGCTTCTCCCATCTGTTCTGGGCCTTGACTTCTACTCTGATTTGTCAAGATGATACCATGCACATTCTCCTTTCAGAAATTTTATCAAAATCTCATCCACAGTTAGGCAAAGTCTTCTTAGGTATGATACCAAAGGCATAAACAAAAGAAAATAATAAACTGTATTTTATCAAAATTAAAATTTTTGTCCTTTGAAGTTAAAAGACAACCCCTGGAATGAGAGTCTTAAAATTTTCATTGCTAATAATAGAATTTCAGATCTCAGATTGTACACGCTTGCATTGGTGACATTACTCCCAGTTCACACACTGCCTGAATTCCTGTTTTATCCACTATCAACTGTGGATGAGATTTTGATAAAATTTCTGAAAGGTAGAATGTACGTGGGATCTTCTTGACTTCTGAGTTCACTACCTTACAAAACACCTCACTGTATATTTGTACAGCCCTGCTAGCTAGAAAGTTCTTCCTTGCATTGAAGCAAATTCAACTTTTTTTTACAACATTCTGTAACGTGATCCTAGATAGACTTTTGTTTCTACCCAAAACAGACTTCCATGACCTTTTTCATATCACAGCCTTCTTGAAGGCAATTACTACAAACTTTTCAACATGGATCCTCCAGTCTAAACACCCTACGTTTCTTCAGTGGCTCATGTGACAAGGTTATAAGGAGCCATCCTGGTTATTTTTAAACTCTCTGGTAGCTAAGCCAAGCTTGCTCCATATCTATATTTGAGGCATGGGTGGTAATGCCTATGGTCCTGAACTAGTAAAATGAATCAATGTCTGTGAATGTATTTTTACAATTTAAAATGTTTTGTAAGTATAAAATACTATTTAAATGTATCTGCTTCCTAGAGGTAACTTGGCAAAGCATATTAAAACTTATGATTCAAAATGTAGTCTAAGGACACATGTAGCATCACCTGGAAGCTTGTTAGAAATATCTCAGGCTTACCTTAAACTTATTAAATCCTTGTCTGCATTTTAACAAGATCTGAAAGTATTTCACATGCACATTAAAGTTTGAGAAGCACTGTAGACTTAAAAATGTGCAAACACTTTCATTCAACAGTTTCTGTTTTAGGTATTTATTCTGAGAAAAGGATGAGATAAGTGTGGAAGAGGTGTATATAAAGTACACAGCATTTTTATACCAGCAAAAATTTACAAAGTACTTCAAGGTATCCTAATAGAAAAGTGGCCGTGTGCTTTATGGTCTATCCATGGATATACCATTATTTTCCCAGGGTTGACTTTGTAGAGCAAGCTTCTCAGTTAATGCTGGTGCCCAGAAAGTGACTGCTCCTTAGCTGATGCATACTGCTGTGAACATAGGCCTATGTTTAGTTTGACCAAAAGGTTGTTAATAACCTCACACAAATTATCTCTGGGGAAACCAGGCCATCTGCCTCTGTCGGCTCCTAGGGTTCAGTCAGTTGACAAATTTGCTAGCATATCCAAGTTTCATTTTCCCTGTATGATTAGTCATATACAATTATTTCCAACAGGGCTTCCGTTGATATTATAACCCAATGGAGAAGAGACAGTGAAGATATAAGTGGATAATTGTTCACAGACCATTTACAAAATTTGTGGGCCAATTGTCAGCAAAGTTTCTGAATTTTTTTTTCTTTTTAACTGAGAGATGTGTCCAGCCCTTTTGTTACTTAGTCACTATCATCACTTTTGTTGTGTCTGTCCCTCTTGTCCTAGAATTGCTCCATTTATTAGACAGAGAAAGCCTTTATCATGACCAAATTCAGCTTGGGAAATTTCAGGGGAAATGATGTGTCCTGAACACTTTACTTAACGTTATAAAACAATTTCTCTCTCTTACGTTCTAGGCCTCCCTCCCCTGCTTTCTTCTCCATCACTTCTTCTGAAAGCAAGCTCCACGGTGCCAGAGAGTTTTGCCTTTTTTATTCATTGCTATTTCTGCATCACTTAGAAAGTATTCCACAAGTATTTGTTGAGTGAATTTATGTAAAATATCTCAGGATCCTTAGAACCACTGACCTGTCGAGTTGGGGAATAGAGTCAATTATATTCGTCGTATAGACTGTATCTAAGGTACACAAGACTTTATAGCCTCCTGATGTCATCTTCTAGTAAATTTTCATGCTAATAACTGAGAGTACACATAAAGGTAAGTCACACCATTCTATATCAAGCCAAAAAGAGGGCAGTGGATAGGAGGATCTTACAAGTCCTAGTAGGTTCATCCAAGCCCCATACACACAAGCAGAAAAATCAAGATAAGATATAGGTCTGGGCAAGATGAACAATCTAGGAACAGATAACCACAGTGTTGTAGGACCCAAGAGTCATCAAGCCTAAGAAAACCAGACCAGAACAAGAATGCAAATTCAGTGAGATCAGGGACACAATCTGCCCTGTTTATCTAGGAGTAGTGATATGCTGGCAATCGAGCCTGGAACTTAGAAATGGATATTGGATAACTAAACCATCAACTAAATGAAACTCATACAGCTGTGAAAAATGCTACTATAAACAAAGAGTATTAAGATACTGGAAAGTAAAAATAAATAAATAAAAGATGGAAATTACACTTAGATTTTGGTTCCACTTTTGTTTGTGTATATGTGTGTGTGTGTATATATATATATATAAATAAAATATATATATATATATATATAAAATATATATATATATATATATATAAATAAAAATAGGTAGGCTGGGCACAGTGGCTCAGCCTGTAATCTCAGCACTTTGGGAGACCAAGGTAGGCAGATCAGATTGATTGCTTGAGTCCAGGAGCTCAAGCCCATTCTGGGCAACACAGCAAAACTTTGTCTCTACAAAAAGGAAAGAAAGAAAAAGAGAGAGAGAGAGAGAGAGAGAGAGAGAGAGAGAGAGACAGAGAGAGAGAGAGAGAGAGAGAGACAGAGAGAGAGAGAGAGAGA